ACATTACCACAGGATTATAATGTCAAACAGGTCTGATATTGTTCATTCTTATAAACAGTGCAGCCAGTGAGTATAATCTGCTTTTAAGCTTTTTTTGGTCACAGTGCTGTAAAATGAGCATTGTAGCTGTAGCATAATTTCAGCTACCAGAGATATCTCTTGCACAGATCAGCACACAGTTTGTCACAAATCTTTCGGTGCCAAGACGGGAGCAGACATGGGTCATGAGTCAGGTGAATTGGCAAGCCTGTGTGGAATCCCACTCAGCATGCGTCTGCAGTAAAAAGTATCTTCCTCTCGTGAACAGGAACATCAATTAATTAGATATACTATCAGAAAATCACCCCCCACCCCAAATGGCATTTCTGGATGTCTTAATATCCCTGTGTCATCATGGCAGAAGCCATGGCAACAACATCACTAGACATATGGGAGGCTTATCAGTGGTGTTCAGTGAAATTTAGGAGCTTTTAAGGAGCTGACTAAAAATAATTGCTTGTAGTCTAAACACTTACTTAAAATGCTGTGCTTGATGTCTGCCACGATAAAGGGACAGACTGCATATGTTGTTTCTGGCCAGTATATGCATGAACTAGATGTGGATTAAAGGTGAACCACAAGCAAGTATAAAATACTGCTATTCTTTCATTTCAGAGGGGAAGATTCTTCTTGAAAAGAGAATGCTGATAATGTTTTTGTGCTTGTCATTCAAAGCATTTGTATCTTATGGACCAAAACATTTTTTTTACACTCAAATTTGGCTGTTATGGTTATGTGGTTATTATAATATTGGTTAGATAATTATTATAGTTATGGTTAAAAATACAGTGTGAATTACTTAGTGCTACTTTAGTCAGTAGTTTTCAAAAGACAATTTTAAGGATATAAAATGAAAGAAGTCAGACAGATCATATTAGACTGATCTTCTAATTTTAGATTCAATCAACTGCAGTCAGAGATAGAGGTGAACAAATGTCTTTGACGTCTAAAGTAAGATTAAATTGACTTGCACACATTATATTCAGCATTGAAAAGTCCCTGAATAACTCAAAGAAAATTATCAGAATCAATTAAAAGAAGTACAAATTTAGTAGAACAAATTTAGTAGACACGTATGTACAATTACATAAATCAATATAACCTACCTGAAGTGAGTCAATGTGAAAGGGAAACTTGCTTATTGCAGGTTTTGAAGGTGTTGAAAAATGTCCATAAAAGTGATCTTGCATGCCAGACTTCTCCTATGCTTCTAGAAACATCTCTCACCAAAAACTTTCTAGTAACTTAGACAGTGATTTCAGGAGTTTCCCCACGTAGGTTAGCCATAATTTAAACTGACTAGTCAAATAGTTTTAAAAATGGTCCAGGATAGGATGGTCCAATGATAGGAATATATTCTGTCAAGGAAGGAGGTCACAGTAAAGTTTTGCAAGGGGTCAGTATTGGAACCTGTATTGTTCAAAACAGTAACCTGGGAAAGCAAGATGAGCAGTGAGATGGGAATATTTGTTGATGATATGAGCTTATTCACAGCAGTGACAGTGAGAGAACACAATGATTAAGGAGAATGCCATGAAAATGAGTGACTGGTTAACAAAATGGCATATAAAAATCTATTGCAGGTAAATAGAAAGTGATGATCTTGGAAAAAAGTACCTTAATTTCACATAAAAAATTATTGACTTTGAGATGACTATTATCACTCAATATTGAGATCTTGTGGTAATACTAGAAAGTCTCATGGTAATACCAGTTCTATAATCAATAGGAGTAAAAAATGCATACCATATTAATTATTGAAAAAGAAATAGAAAAAGAAATGAAAGATCCTTATTGTCCTCCTGCCCATATGATGAATATTGAAGTTTATAATGGTCTCTACTTTTCAGGTTATCATTATCAAGCATCATGAAACACAGATTATGAAAAATCATATGTATGGAGCAAAAATTCTGAGATGCACTCCACCAGTGTCACAAGCAATGTCTTCTGCCTTATGCCATTGATCAAATTCCTCTCAACTCTTCTAATACTATAAAATATAATACAATATAAACAGTGACTTATTTCTACCTGATAGTATGCTAACTGTTGATATATTAATTCAATTTCTTCTTTTCAGTTATCAAGAGCTTTGCCATAGCTCCTGAGTAAAAGAATTTGATTCCGCATTTAAATCAGGTATTGAACATATTTACTTTTTTTGACCAAGGCTCTATGTTCTTCACAAAATTGCAACATTTATTTTTTTGGTCAAAGAGCAGATATCAGTAATTAACTTATATTAATTACACACTGTCTCCTGTAGGAAGTTTAACATCTGTGTTCATCCTTTTTGTGTCACTATAGATAAGAGTAAAGCAATAAATTCTTTCTCTGTGTCTATAGAGTTTAAATGGATTGAAACCTCATCCAAATCCTGCCTACATGGTAATCAAATTAGCTTACTGAATGTTATTGTGTTTGCAATAATTGGACAGGCCACAGATATTCTGAACAACGTCTCAGCAAATAGTTGAAGAGAGCTATCAGGAGCAGAAGCAGGGTGAGCAATCACCTGAGAGCTCCACAGAAAGCAGACTGGCCCCCGAGGTGAGGGATGGATTAAGCACCCCAGCCCTGTGTTTGCTCCGTGCGGCTCTGGTGCCCTGCATCACTGGCTGGTTACAGCAGCGCAGGGACACAGAGCCCAGCACGCCCAGGCTCGGGCTCTTCGTGCTTTCTGCTTTAAATGGCAAACACAGCCTGAGGATATAACTCCCAGACAAAATATATATTAAGATGCTACATGCAATAACCTTATCTCAGCTTTATAGTGACATGAGGCAATACTGGCTTTCCTGCTCTGGTTCAGCAGCACAGTTTGTGGGTCACAGCATCCTAGTCGCCTTTCACTGGCCAGATGCATCTGAAAATCTGCTCTTCAAGCAAACAGTAATAAAAAAAACCCCAAAAACCACTGATTTCTAATAACTGCCATTTTCACCCAGCTAGGGATAGCATACACTAGCATGCATTCTCAACTACTTTTTAATTCTGTAAGGAGACAATAAGAGTCCTAAAGCAGGAAATGTATCAATGATATAAAGAAGTAAAACTTTACAAGAAGTTTGCAATTACTTCCATTGTAAGTATTCGAAGCTTCCATATTAAGTTACCCTTAAAAGAATTTAATAATTTTAAAATCAGAAGTGTGAGATTAAAGTCGCCACACAGTCTTAATTTGGTCTAAAAGTAATACCTAGTGGGAAAAAATTTATCTATATAATAAAAAAATATGCCATTAAAAACCAGCTAAATCTAATCTGGAGTTTCAAACTTTAAAATGTATTTTTCATAATCATATGGTTATTGCCTCATGTCACTATAAAGCTGAGATAAGGTTATTGCATGTAGCATCTTAATATATATTTTATCTGGGAGTTATATGCATAATTCATATTTATTAAAATAGTTTATTAATATGACCAAGGTGAGTCAGTTGACCCTGAAAATCACCATTTTAGGCTTTCTAACTGAAGCTAATAGGACAGTTCATCCAGTGCCCTTAATGCAGGCAATGTTGCATAGATCAGAGTTAGTACATCAAGTATGCACTGGGATTTTCTCTCTCCCTCTTCCTTTTCCAATCTGTCTTTCTCTAGAATTTCAGACCTGGTGCAGATAGTAAGGCTGAGACAGAAAAGTGAAGCCTTCCATGGCAAGACATAACTTACTGTTGAGAAATATAATCAGCTTTTGTAATTTTCTATATTTATATTTTTTACCTGTAAATAAATTTGGAAAACTGCCTGATTGTTCATTGAAGTACAGAGTTTTCTACTGGAAATCTATTGATATGGATAAATCACATTTTATATTACATTAAAAGAACAATATTACATATTCTTGAATATAGTTCTGTAGATCTGTGACCAGATTCTTTGTCTACTGGTAAAAGAAAACTTATGGAGCAAAAAAAATTAGGCCAGGAAGTCACAAAATAGAAACTCATTTAATAAATATTCAGTGTTTCTCCCATATGAACCAGTGCAGCTTATTCAGTGTGAGAGCACATTTTGAGACAGATGAAGCTCTGAAAAACCTGTCATCATCCACCTTAGGCCAACTCAGAGAGAAAACTCTCCTTTCCATTAAAACTTCTTGTTTCTTACTTGCTCTTTTGTTTCTGAACTTTGGAGGGCATCCTAGAGTTCAGAGTTGATATTAATCTAATCTTGGCATTATTATGAGGATAGAAATTTGACTGGTCTCATTCATAATTAATGACAAAGGTGTCCAAGAGGGCACTATGCTTAATTAATGATTCCTGTACTTTGAAGGCAAAGAAACTGCCTTCGAAAGGAAATGAGGCATCAAAACTTCTAAAACCTGCTGTTGATAAGCCAGTAAGAACAGCTGGAAAATTGTTAAGTTCTGGGTGCACAGCTAAGTGGGGGATGCTGTGGATAGGCTCTGGCTTGTGGCATCCACTGACCAGATCTGATAATGGCAATACCCCGGACTCCATGCTGTAGATGGCTTTGTGAGACTGCTCAGCTACCCTTTTCCCTTTTCCCACAAGAACCCAGACTTGCAGTCTCTGGAATCCCAATAAGAAATACTGTTGGAAGAGTGGAAAACTTTACTGACTTTATGAAAATTAAGAAGGATGTTGGAGTCCAGAGGAGGGGCATGAAGATGAGGACTGGAGCGCATCTCCAGTGCAAACAGGATGAGAGAGTTGGGCCTGCTCACCTTGGAGAAGAGAAAGTGCCAGAGAGACCTTATTAGCCCTCCAGTAGCTGAAGGGGTCCAACAAGAGAGCTGGAGTGGAACTTTAGACGAGGGTGGGCAGGGATAGGATAAGGGGAAATACCTTTAAAATGGAAGAGAGTAGGTTTAGAATAGATATTAGACAGAAATTCTTTACTGTAGGGCTTGAAGCACTGGAACAGATTGCCTGGAGAAATTGTGCATGCCCTAGTCTTGGAAGTGTTCAGGGCTGGGTTGGACGGGGCTTTGAGCAACCCGTTCTAGCGGATGGCATTCCTAGGAATGTCTGATCTAGCTGGAAATAACTGATATTTAAGGTCCCTTCTAACCCATAACCCATTCTATGGTTCTGTGATTCCATGAAAATGAGCTACAAGATCTCATTGTTTTCCCAACTGGTGAAGGATGCACCTGCTCATAAAGGATGAAAATCCAGAAAAGGTAATGGAGATGATGATTAGGATTAGTTACCAGTAACTATATAAAGTAAAAAGAAGACATATTAGATGTTCCCTAATGGCTTTTGCTTTCTCAGCTACTTTGGTTATTTTCCAGCTACTTTACGATGCAGTGAGGCCAATAAAGCCCTAGCAGAGTTGTACATATACCAAGTCTTGACACTTTAGCATATATTGCTCTTTGAAATAGGACATACTGGCAAAAGCACATTTTTGCAAATATAGTAAAAATCAGTAAGAGAGTTTTAGTGGCAGAGCTCTGGCAGTAAAATTAAATCAACTAAACACTTTAATGCCAACAAGTTTAGGCGCAGAGAATCCACCAGAAAAAATATATTGACAAGAAGTTAGGGTTTGGGGAAGATGCAAGAGAATCAGGAAAGTTGTATAGATCGTTGAAAATAGTATTTTTGCAAATTTTGCAAATTTTGCCATTTTTTGCAAATGGTCTTACAAATGTTGGTTTATTCTTTTGTTTTGGTTTGTTTTTTTATTCACAGTAGCTCTTTCTTCTTCAAATGGTATGTAGCACTGGAACTGATAGAAGAACTATATATTTAAAGACTAGAACATAAAAAAAGTGTCTACCATATGTGAAGTGATAAAGTAAACTTCACTTTAGAAGCTAAATGACCTGGGGAATTAGCTTTTGAGCAGAACAGGAAACTGCTTTTGTGCTGTGAATACAATAAAGGTCGGGAGCAAGAGGTTGGGAGGTTATAGGTATAGTCTTTTCTGCATGTCTATTCCATATAAATCTACCTTCTGAGTTGACATTGTTCATCGTATTTAAAATTCTTACCTGAAAAAAGTGCTATTATTTAATGCTAAGCAGTCAATGACTTTTCATCAAAATCAGCATTTTCACTTAAAAAAATCTTGAAATCAAAACAAATGTAAACAGTGTGACCCTTAGTAATAAAATAAGGTCCTCTGTAATTTCTCCCATGAATTAAATATGTCCTAATTTTTTAATGTGAAGTAATTTTGTCTGGGACCCGCTCAACATTAATCCCATGAATTTGCATGGGCAGCCACCATGCTTAAAACCAGAAACAGGGAAAGGAGGCTGAGAGGCTGTCAGAAAGGCAGACATATGGCCCTGGAAAAAACTGAGTGATGAAAGAAAGTTGTGAAACAAGTCTGAGATGGTATGTGAAGAGTATATGCATTCTGTATGTATATTAGATCTTCCAGGTCTAAAGAGTGCTGAAAGGCATGTTACAGGTCAGAGTTACACCATTGTGTAAGGTGGATATTAGCTGATGCAACTTGGCAACTCTTGACCTTTCAGATTCCTTTTCAGTCCTTCTGTCCATGTGAGATAGGGCTGTTGCTCACTGATCTCAGTAATAAGGATAGGGCAGGCAATCAGGATCTGCAGGTTGAAAACTCATTTGTTTTCCTTTCAAAAAGCTGCTTTTATCTCTCCCAGTCCAGAAAACCTGTACACAGCATTCGTTATAGTGGTCTTGTCTTTCATATCTCTTCAGGAACAGCAAACAAGATAACATGAGAACATCAGACCACTTGCCGCCTGGAAAAAAATGAATCTTTGTAGAAGAAATTTACAGAAAATTCTCTTTATAGAGCCACTCCATACCAAACATGTCATATGAATTGAACAAGAGTTCCCTGCAGGTAAGATAGCTCTGGATAATTGAGATCTGACACATACTGCATATCTCTAAAAATAATTTAATCACAGTCTGATCAAAGTTTCATAAATCAGATAGTGCTTTACAATTGCTTAAGGCTTATGACAGTTAATTATAATTTTGATTATACCTCCATGCTTTAGGCTTCTTTATATGTCAGAAGGATTGCTCCTCTTATTAGAAAGAAGTATAGTGTAGTTCACTTTTATTTTGCTTTGATGAATTGCCCCTAGAGGACAGGTACCTGGTGCCTACTCGTTTGGGGGCATATGTTCAGTAATGACATTCTGTGAGTAATTATTTTATTTTTTTTTTAATTTTAACTGTGCCACATCATTTATAGACTGATTATGTGTGCTTAGTCAAAATATACACAAATAAGACAGCTGTGCTCTACTTTTGTTTTACCAAACCTAGCAAGTATTTTATTTGCAATAAAGAAACTGAAGGGCCATCAAAGTTGTATACGACCATCTGCTTCTGGAATTATTTTCATATAAGGGATTTAAGTCTTGGTGAGGTTCTTCTGTGCAGGAAATGGAAAATATTTTTCTGCCTTGTTTTTTTTTTCTTTCCTTTTTAAAATATGTTGCTGAGTATTAAATGTATTGTTAACAAGACATGGCTCAGTCCCTTCTATCCTCTTCTCAATTTGTGAGCACTGCTCTTGCCTATGACAAAGGCATACTAACAAGTTGAAAGTTTTGCATGAGAAATAAGTTGTTCCACTAGTGCTTAGAAAAGTGCTGACTTCCCAGTTTCATAAAAAGCTCACTGCTGAATATGATACCTAACATGTGATAACAATAACAAAGCATAATGTTGTTAGAGGCTGGTAAATGAGAGATCAGCTGTTCATAAAAGCCAATGGAGCCAACTGTGATATCTGCTATACAGAAATATTAGTGCTGTGATACTAGCTCCAGCTTGTTAGACTAGCAGGAAAATTCATTAAAGTTCCATATATTACAACATTTAAAACAGTCTTACGGGGGATAGTAAAATGGGAGTTACCTCAGGGCTGTTGATTTTATTGTGAACAACAAGGTATTAGGTGAAGGTTCACTACAGAGACTTAGATTCTTAAAGAGGCAATTAGGTTACTAACTCCAAATTAAGAATCACTGGCATGCAAAAAATCCCCTTTCAGCTGCTGCATTTCCTTTGTGGTGTCCAAAGTCCCTCAAGAATGAATTTTCTGCCAGGACATGTATAAAGCTGCCTAAATCTTTAATTACCTGGCTTTTGCTGTATCCTTAGTCTGCAGGGGATGTAAAAATAAGGCATTTTCTCATTTTATCTCTTTTGGACTGCCTGAGTCAGGAGTGTGATAAGAGTACACTGTATATGCACTTGTGATTTCATGTCTTAGAAGTCAATGACTAAGAAATAGAAAAAGAGCTGGGAAATCCTGTGAGGGAAAAGGAAGAATTGGATGAGGACAGATATGCTTCTCTTCAAAGGCCATAATTAGATGAGTTGTCTGCACCACAAGAGAGCCAAACCCCTGTTTTGAAGAAAAGGATTGAGCTTTATTGTACCATCTTCTAGAATACCCTAAAATCAGTCAAATGGGTATCCTACCAAAAACGTCTTTCAACATTTTTATCAGTGTTGCTTTATATTGTATAAAGTGCATAAAAATTTTTTTGCTGGGCTTTGAAAAACTATTATAATTCATTAGCCAGAGGAGTGAGACAATGCTGCAAAACAAGCTAATTAGGTGTTAGCTGAGGTATTGAATGAGTTATTATAAATTCAAGTCCTTTTTTCAGTGACTGCAGAAAATAAACAGTAACAGCTTCAACAGAAAGGACTCAGTATGACACTGCTATTACGGTATGACATACCCAAGGATGATCAGGCCTTTGGAAGGGGAAAGAAAAGACTTTGTCCTGCCTCTGTGAATGATCCTCTGTTCCAAAATAAACGTGAGTATTTCACATAATTTTACAAATATTCTTGTTGGTCAAGACATTTTTCATTTTGTGTTATTGTTGCAACCCTTTTTGACATCTCAGGTTTGGGATTGTTCTGGGCATTCTAACCCAACCAGATATAAGGGTCTGCTTGTCTCTCCAGCTGCTCTATTTTAGCTCATAGCAACCCACTTGTGAATCTCACTGTTGCAGTGTTTCTAAAACTCCTAATTATTGGCTTACATTTATTTTAATAAAATGACAGCTTATGCTGTATAGGAGGTTTCTTTGTCAGTAAATCCAATTACGGTAAGACTAATTGTCCCCAGGGCTTGGCCTATATGTATCCTGCACTCTGGACTGACAACTTTCCTACCATCTGTAGCAATATGTTCTATCAGAGTATCTTTTTTTTCTGCACAGCCATAAAACTCAGTTTCTCTTCTCAGTCCTGTGATGACAGTCCTTTTATAATTAGGTATAATGTCTCTGTAATTTTTCCCACAGGAAATGATGCAGGTCTTTTGTCCATGAGTTTATGTCTGTGTACGTCTTCTTGCTATGTGTCTAATGAGTGCTCTCAGTAGGACTTAATTCATCCTTTAGTTTTGGAACCAGGTCCAAGTTCTATCTGATATGCTTTTCTACAATTAAATACTTTTGTTCTAGAGTACCCTTATTAATTATCAGGCCTCTTCCTTAGATGATGCTTTTTCCTGGCCTGCTTTCTCTATAACTTACTGTGAACAATGGAATTGGATGGGATAGTAGGAAACTGCCTTCAAACATACATTGCATGACTGAAATGTATTTTCCTAGCTTGTCTTTGTTTCCAACAGACTCTATAACTCCTCAAGCAACCTTTCTGAAGTCTTTACATTTTATTTTCTGTAGTCTGGAAGCCTTTTCTTTCTCAAGAACTCCTAAAAGCTTTCAGTTCCCAAATTGATGCTCTACTACACCTTTTTGTACTTTTACTACATTGAATTTTCTACAGTTTCTCTGACCATGACAAGATAAGCACGTGGCTCAACCTGAAGGTTGCTCTTTTCTCTTTCAAAAGTAGATAAAAATTTGATTATTGAATCAACATACATTTCACTGTGGCATCATAATTTCTGTCCATCTATGCAGAAAATAGTGGCATAAGCTTCCCACTTAGCAGCCATTAGGGTAGCTTTCCTTTGGATGCCTCAAAACACCTGAAAGAGAGAGGGGAAAGAAAGAACTAGAATGACAGGGAACATCTTGGGAAATTCATATCTTTATCTTCCTTCATCTGGCATTTTACTGTTATCCTTAAAGCAAAGCTATATCTTAGCTATCGCATATAAATACCACAAACACTCCATAAATCTTCATCATTTCAGGCACTCTTAAAATTCAGTCATGACACACTAATATATAGCTTCATATAATCTACCCAACATACATGAAAGCTTTTTCACATTCTTCAATACATCTTTGTCACCATAAAATAATTCTTCACTGTTTCCCACTCTCTGACAACCTTCAACCATTCTTCTCATAATTTCAGTACTGAATAAACACCATTATATCAAAAAAAACCTGACTGATGAATATCAGAAATTTCTTACGGATCATACACAAATAATTTATGGGTTTTAAGCCTCTAGCTTTCATCATGTGCCTTTTTGTGTTCCTTCTAAGGTGCATTCCTTCTTTCTTGGTCTCTTCCTGAAGCAGATAGAAGCTCTACTTTTACTTTAGTACTATATATTTAGAAAAAAAAAAAAAAAGAAAAGGTTAGTCATCATATTTCCAGTCTTTATAAAATGAGCAGAAAAATATCCAAAGATAAATTCCAAATATTGCTGACTCTCTGTCGTTATCTTTGCTGATTATCTCAATAGCTCAGTTTCTAACTATCACAGTAGGTAGTTTCAACTCTTAATTTGTTCAGGTATATTATTACTGACTTGCCACTTTCTCCTTTATTCTCTGTTTTTTTTTGTTGTTTGTTTTTTTTTTACTTCAGCCACTGGATCTTCCTGCTGATGTCTTTTTGATGGCTGATTTATTTATTTCTCACAACATTCTTCAATACTGCTTTATAATGTAATGACTGCACCCTCGGGTGAATCTTGCTAAATTATTACTTCTTAGCAGTCATCCTTTCAGGTAATATATTAACAGTTTAACAGTCTAAGTACTTCACAACACAGAAAATATCCTTCTGTTATTTTGCTTAGTACAGAAATATTTTAAAAAATAAACCTGAAATATTTGTGTAACAGCTTTCCTGCTATAAGAGCTTTTCATGTTGTGCATCTTCAAAACAGAACCAGATAATTATTAAACTTTAATGTGCTTGCTTTTGCACCATCACTTTTTCTTTTCATAATTTATAAAAAATTTCTTCTTGCCTTTTTTTGTTCTGTGAGTTATCATAGTCTGTGTCTGACACTTTTAATGATAGGACTCACTGTAAAATGACCAAGTTATAACAACATGGAGCAGCTGTGAGTGCATCTGTTGAAAAAGGTGACTCACAGCCAGATATTTACAGAAGAGAGTGTGTTGGTCAATAAATGTGTTTTTTATCTCAAAACTATGTGGGATGCCATTAAAATTTCTTCTCAGTTGACACAGTCAAGAATGAGATAGCAAGATCAGATATTTTCAGAGCTAGATTTTAAAACATTTATTCTTTGGCCACCGTAGATTAAATTTGAAAGTTTACAAACATTAGAAAAGGCAATGGAAAAAAGGAAATTTTTCCTTTTTCCTAGGGTTTTTTCCCCTATTTTTTTTTTTTCCTAGAGTTGTGATAATAATGTTTATTGCAAAACTACAAATATTATCTGGACGCTTGTGTTCTGTGAAAAGTTGTTGGAGAGTTAGTATTTAAAATCCATGTCACAATCCTCTTTTTAACATGTACATTTTAAGAAGAAATGCTGTTATTTCTGGGACACAGTGTGTTTCAGAATGATCTGTGATTGTTTTAAGGGAAAAAAAAATAGATTTTGTAAATACAGGAATCTACTGTTAGAACCCTCTTATAAGATACTGTCTTCCATATGCAGTATTTCAGCTATCGAAATATTGAAGCAATTATTCCTCCTCCACTTGTTGAAAACTAGCTATAATCCACATCCAGAAGAATATCCAAATTATAACCTAAAGATTCCACCTTAGCTGAACCGTAATGAATTTTCATTTCAATTATTATAGTGTTGGTGGGTGAGTCTCTAAATGAGCCTTAGCACCAGGTTAATAGTTAATTAGGTGAATTGATTGTTCCACAAAAGAAACAGCATTTCTTGAAGGAAAATTATGATAAATGAATAGGTAAATGTAGACAATTTGAACAAATTGTAATTATCTGCTGCTATGTACCTCTGTGTATAAGGGAATGATTATTTTTAATGACTTTTCTACTTTTCAGTGATTATTTAGATCTTATTTAGTCATGTTTCCTCATAGCATACTGCAAATTATATCTTTCCACAATGATGGCATTATATTTAAGAAAAGAAGTCACATTCATATTATCCTTTGTATATTTTGACAAAGCACAATTAAAAAATTTTCTGTGGGGAACAATAAAATAAATGAAAGAAAATGCCCTAGCAAATATTTCCCTTTTGGTATCCCCTGTTAATATTTTTATGAGTCTCTTAAGCTTATCTAAGAGATTTTTAATGCAGCAGGGTATGTTATTAGGTTTGTATTTTTTTCCACACTATCATACATTTCAGTCTTTATCACAGTGGGAACAATAAAATAACAGACCGCAATGCATTAGCATCATAAAGAAAATGTAATAAATGGCTTTATAACTGTAGTAAAAGTTGCATGAGCACCAGCAGCTGTAACAGAGATGTTGCTACAGCAGCATTTTATGACCTAATAGCACTCAGTGGGCTGATAATATTATGTGTGTGTGTGTAATGCCAGCAGTTTCCCAGGCCTAGATTTCAATTCAGATAAATAATTGAAAGCACTTTTAGACTTTTCCATAAAATGTTTAATAAGAGATCAAATCCTCCCTCCCTGTAGTGGAAAATTAAATAGTTTTTACAGGGATGTTTTATGATGAAACTCTATTATTAGGAATAGAGGGTATTTGTTTTGTTCTTTTTTTTTTTTTTTTAAATGTGATTAGAACTAAAATATATTTGAAGGAACTCTTGTGTTTTGTTGTTTGTTTTTTTTTTTTCTTTCATATTACTAGTAGTAGAGAATGATACTTGTTTTTACAGTTGTTTACCATTTCCTGATATTTGGAGACAAGGACCATGATAATATTTACTGAATTACTTTGAATATGATAATAATCATGAAAATGTGTCTGTATTTCTAGAATGAGAAAAAAAAATCCCAGAAGGGCTGCAGAAGAGTCAGTTTTAGAAAAGGGTGGGACTGATAATCATATGGTACAAACATTGAATTCACCTAGGGTTGTGTGAATTATAACTTTTATTGTTATAAAGGTGATGACTATTTCTCTATTTCCTAAATAGAGATTAAATGCAAAATGTGTGCTGGATGAGTGAATGAAAAGATCATTCAACAGACAGTCTGCAAGATCATGTTACCATTTAAAACACACAAAATACATAATATTCTGTGAGGTTTTATTTTTGTTGTTTGTCTGTTTTAAGAGGTTTTTGGAATTTCTTATTTTTTTTCTGTTTCTTATGGGCATTGATTGTTTTATAAAAGGTGAAAGAAGGAGTGTGAGGTATGTATATTAAATTAACTAGTGTATTGAATACTTCTGTTTGGCAGAATAACCTGCTCTTTCTTTCTCACTGTTCTGAATTCTTACATAACAGATAATACAAGATTACTTGTTTGTCAAAGTGCTTCTTCTTGGACTTTCTTGCTTCATTTCCATGATCTTAAATAATCTTTCAAAATGACAAAACTGAAGCAATTTTTTGGATATTCTGAGGTCTCCTCATTTCTCACTTGGAAACATTTTCTTTTGTATTTTGCTAAAGTTAAAAGCGAGTGGTAAAACATAAATTCTGCAAATATTATTAATTTTCCTTGTGTTCTATCTTCGTCAAAAAAAAAAAAAATCTTATATTTATAACAACGTATAACAATGAATTTTATCAGAATAAAATTAAGTAACTTTAAAACAACTTTGTATTTGAACTCTGGGAAGCTGAAAATACTCAGATGAGGATAACGTCTCGTGAAGCAGGGAGCAGAGAGAAAGAAGGACAAGAGAACATTCAGAGTTAAAAGAGAAGGGAGTTGAAACATACTCATGGAATTATTTTTGAAAGTATTGCTTTAATGTATTTCTGAATTTTCATATTATGAATGTTATAATAGATCATCTAGATCCTCTGAAAGGGCTTCTTTATTATTTTAAATCTAAATGAATTAATGCAGTAATAAAAAAGGATGGAAATATAAGTTTTAAAAAATTATCTCTGTGTAATGAAAAATCCACAGAATTATTTTTGGAGGGGTCTAATACAGTGTTTGGTAGGGCAAAGTAATTCCCTTGTCTTAATCAAATATAAGTAGGTAGGAGCGGATATCATCACAGGCAAGTCAGCTGAAAACTTCTTTAGTGAGGTATTCAACCTTCAAACTGAGACAAAATTTAAGCTACATATTTACCTTTTACTGTTTTCTCTTTTCAAAACTGTGAATCTAATTTGGTGAGAAAAAAATGGATGCTCTGGCAACTTGGTATTGTGTTTAATAGCCACATTAAATGAGGAGTCAAGCTGTGATTTAGTTGAGTTCCTTTTAATAGAAAAGCATCTTCAGTTGCTGACAGGCTCTATGAACCACACTTGATGAGAAGAAAGAGCCTTATTTATTTAGAGTTAAATTTTGCTTCTCTTGCAAGTTTATTTCAGCTACATCTCTGCAACAGTGCAAACTACAACTTGTTTAGGACTACCTAAGGAGTCAGAGATATCTCTACACTTCAAAGACCTTCCAACATTTAACTATGTCCAAGATCACCTGTTACTTACATTATAAGGAAACTAAGACAAATGACCAGCTTGCTCTGACCCTGTCACACACTCCTGAGACAAAAAAAAACTCTGTTGCTTTTTAAAATAATCTATATGCTACTTTATAGGTAAATACAATAAAAAATATTCACCTTTTATATCAAAAAGTGTGAGGTCTTGCTACATAACAGAGGTAATGTAATGGGAAAACTTGAAACACGCAAAAGATTTCTAATGATAAGGTAACACAGACCTGTAATTTCTGTTGATTGAACTGTAAAACCGAGCACTAAATATTCCTATTTCTCCAGCTAATTAAATTGGATGAACATAGGTTTCACAATTGAAACCAGGTATTTGAATTTAATTTTAGAACATTTTAATTATAATGGTTGAAAGGATTTACAAAGGACGTGGTAAGAGGTCTGTTTTCCAGATTAGAGCTCTCAAGTTTTGTAATAAAGACTATATCTTCAAAAGAAGTTTATCTTATTTTAATGGTTACATAGGTAAATATTACCAATTCAGTTTACTTACATGTCATTAAATATTCTTGTGTCTTCTTGGACAGCTAAAAGATCAAACCTAGCTAAAGGCATAAACTGGAAAATACATAATGACCTTCAGAAAACCCCATAATTAGTGTCTTACTCACACCCATTTTTTTCCCCCCACTTCCTGGATTATTTTCAGCCTGATCTTGAGCACGAAGACAATATATGAAGACAATGCTGACAGGCTCTTTCCTTTTTTTATGAAGTTGCTGTTAAGGTTAGATTTTCTTGAACTGTACACAGCATTTCATATTGTTAACCATTGCTAGCTTTATATAGGTAATTTCCTTGTAAGCATAATCTTAATGAAGTAGAAATGAATGGTCTTCTTTGAACTTCCTTTGCAAGCTATCAGATGAGTTATCTTTTTGTCCTTTGAGAACTTCTGTGCCATGAGCATGAATTTGATACTTGGCTTCACCTATTTTCCTTCTGAAACTTAGTTTCTTTCTTCTTTTTCAGAGCTTGACTGTAAACCAAGGTGTTCCTGCAGCAGCTCACATCTTGTGGGTTTGGAGACAGAGAAAGTGTTTGGGAAGTCTCAGGAGAGAATCTTTTAAAGATAGTTGACTGTACAAGAAAGAATAAGCAGATCCTAAGAAGAGAATGCAGTGTCCGTAGAAAATACTTTACATCCCTGGAAAAATACTTAATATACACGTCTCTCTCTCAGCCTTAGTCTCTAGTAACAGAGACAAATGAAACTACAACTATCAACAAGATATGAAGGAATATATACACTCATTATTTCACTCAGTTATGCTTCAAACCCTAATTTTCCTACCAGCTGCAGATTTTGATTTACAGAGACCTTTATGGCTACTATCTTGGTTTCCTTAGAAACCACCTTAGACTTACTCTCCATGTTTTACAAGAAAAAAGCCAAATCACCTGAGTTTTTTTTTGGAGCCTGGATGTGGTCTCTGAAGGTACTGGTGGAAGAGCTGTTTTGATGGACAGCCCTTACATCAGGTAATTTTTAATATTTTTTTTCTAAATGGATTCATTTTAATGATGGTTCAAGCATGCTTTGCCATGAATCCATCTTTGTAATTGGGAGATTAACCTATTCAGGCTGTTCATAGAGCTGATGAAGTTCAATTTGTTTGACAATGGCTGGTACATTATATATATTTATATTGGTCCATTTGCCCCAGAATAACCAATGTATTTAACAAAGAATCTATTTTTGTTTATATCTTGGTGTGTCCTTATATTTTATTTTGATGCTGTTGGTTCTTTTCATTTAAAAAAAGGATATTTGATATGGCAAGGTTCAAGTGTCAAGGCCTACAATGTTTGGCATATTTGTAAAGAATCTGGAAAAAAAGAAAAGTGACTGTGCCAATGCTGATAAACTGCAACATAAGACTGTAGAACTGCTGGTGTATTCATGATACTGAGACAATAAAATGACAGATGACATTCAGTGTCCAGAGACAAAACTGAAATCTGTGGAAACACAGAAATCTGTGGAAATCCCTGTTTTAGGGAAGGGCTGTGCACTCAGGAAAGATATTTGTCAGTTTCATTTTTCTGTTCTATAACAAGATCAATTTGTTTCTGTGTGATATTTAACAAAGAAAAAGGTAGCATTTACAAGGAGTGAGATAGAAAATGTTATTATAGCTGAAATACTGTTCATTTCTTTGTCATTACTGCCCATCTCAGACCTAGAAGCATACTGTTTGTGGAATGATAGAGCTAGAAAAGATATGGAGGGAGATGATGGAGATGAATGAAAGAGAAATTACACACTGGTGTGAAATGTGTGGTGAAATATTCAGGCATCTTCAGTCTGGTAAATAAATTACTAAATGAGGTATGGTAGAAATCTATACATCATGAACAATATAGAGAGAATGATTAGAAACAATTGTTTTGTTTTGTTTTTTTTAATTTGAGAAAGAAGGCTACAAATTGAAATTATCAGACAGCAGAATCAAAGCAACATAAGGAAGTACTCCACACTGAGCATGGGTAAGATGCAGTGATAGCCAGCTGCAAAGTGCTGCAACTCTGACATGAGACACTGCAGATGCTAAATAAATATGTGTTCAAAACACCAGTAAGGCCAAGTTGTCTAAGACTCTAAAAACACAAGAAGGCCACATCCACGCCAGGAAACATGGACTGCTCAAAGCTGGGAGGACATAGTGGGAAGTATCTCTGGATGTGTTCCTGGTTTATGTATTTTCCTTAGGTGTCTCTATTAGATAGCATCAAAGAAAGGATTCAGAATGTCCTGAACCTTTCATCTAAACACAATGTCCAACCTGATCATCGCATGCTCATATTAATGTTACGCTCTTTTGTGTGTGACCTTAAGGCTGTGTATTGTTCCTTCCTTTCCTCTTTAAAAAGTAAACAATATGTGTGAAATTCCATAACACATTTTTAAAGAGAATGGGGGAGCTTCAATTTGTTTTGTTTTGTGTGTTTTTCTTTCTTACAACAAAGATTTTGGTTTTACTCTAAAATTACATTTTCTCTATGATTACTATTCAGACAGATGCTAGTTTACTTTGTCAGGAAAAATAAAAGGACACATTAATGTGTCATCTATTTTGTCTAAAACCTGCTAAATTAATTGAGAACTACCATCACTGAAGCAGAAAATAAGGTTAGATTTGAGTAATGAATGATGCCTGGCTAATGATACTAAACACCATTAGAGTAAAAGACACACTTTTTTCTCAACATAGGCTGATTGGGGAGGGGGTTGGAGTTGGCAGGAGGATGCAAGTCTAAGTGAGAAGAATGTGTTATTCACTGCAGAGAGCAAACACTGAAATTTGAGAAAGAAGTTAGAAAGCAAGAGAATCAAAGGAGGTCAGAGATAGAAAATAAAGAACAAAACTAGGTGAAAATTGAGAATTTGACATAAAGCTATGGTGATGTTAAAAAAAAAGCGTTATGCCAGCTATGTTTTCTGTCTCTCAATTTCCATGTGTTTAGGATGTATATTGACCACAGGATCCTGGTCAAAATCCCAGTCTACAGAGTGGGACAATGTTGGAAAGTCACTGCTAAGAATCCTTGTTTTTCCTTTTCATTCACCGGATGGTGGGAAAATCTTGCATATAGTTCTCACTGAAAGTTTTGGAATAAATGTAAAATAACAGGACTGACTTTTTCAATTGTCTTGTTTAGATACAGTATGTGTTTCAGCTGGACAAAATTTTTCATTGCTGTGATGAGATACAACCTTTTTCAGCTGTTCTATATGGTGTGACTGAGATGACAAAAATGAAATATTCCAGTCTGCTTAACTTCTGTACACCATCCTTTCAATTTTTAAACTTTAAAGTCACTCATTTCAATGCTTTTATGAATCTGAAAGGCTGATGAAAAGATCAACTGCATGTTTGACAAATTAAGTCCCTTTATGACATTATTTTTCTTTTTTTTCCCCTGATGAGTCTTATATCTTTAAAAGCAGACTTGAATATCCAGAATGAAGCGAGCTAGAATCTGGTGTGAAATAAAAGAGTTTCATTCCTAATTAGTGTCAGAAAAATGACCCAAACTTTAAAAGGTACTGTCTGCTACTCTATTCCTCCTGACCTCCTCCCCTCAAGGAGACACTGAAAACTCTGTGGGCTTGTATCACGTAGGACCAATATTGTTTCCAGTACCTCGTGTACATAATGAGTGCACAGACGTCTTTCATTTCAAACCTGATGCAGTCACAGCATAGAAATATTTGAGTACTTGCTGCCTCTTTGGCTTAAAATTAGGTGGTTATTTTTCAGACTCATTAGCTTAGCCCTGCAGAGACAGACAAGACTGCAAAATGCTGCTTGGGTGATTGTAACTGAGCTGACCCTGCTCTCACTCGTGTGTAGCACTGCATGTTCTGCAGACAGAACAGTCTTTCACCCTGCAGCACAGACAGCCTCACAGGAATCTTTCCCTGTGATCTCTTGATTAACTTGTCTGTACATTTGGGTGCAAGATGGAGATTGTGGAATGGGGTAGGTAGAAGGCAGATTTGCTAAGACAGCCATCCATGACTTGTGTTGATTTGATTTATATCCTGTTCACACTAATGGGCTGGGTAGCTGCAGCACTATTACACTAAGTTTATAATTGATATATTTGTGCATAGGACCTGGCTAAATACACTAATTCTTCTTAGCTTCTGAGTATTCTTGCTTTCAGTTAGCTAACTATTTTAAACATTGAAAACATCCAAAGAATGTAAACAATTGCTTTAATATTAGAGATATTTCTTCTCCCTTCCATGTATTTTACTCTAGAATTATTAATGAAACCATTATAGAAATTACTTCTATTTTATATCTGTAGGAATAGTGAGATTAAGACAACTACTACAACTTTGATTGACATAAGGTCTAAGTGCTTGACCCTCACTTCACATAATTTTCCTCCCTTATCTATAGAACAAAAAAAGATTATCTAAGTCCATCATAATTAATATAATGCTTTATAAACCTCCTAGAGAACAAATAAAAGAAATGCACATTTTGTATTTTGCTGAAGCAAACAGCACCAACCCGAAAATGATGTAAAGTTTGGGAATTATTAGGCTCATACATAAGGATTAACAGGAATTTAACTATCCAAAAGAAGCGAAACATGACTTAAAATGTATAACCTACCTTGACTTTCCAGGGTAATGAATCTAATTATTTTTTCCTGTGGATGTTTTCACTTTAGGACAAACTTCCAGCTTTCTTTCTTTTCCCTTGCTAGACAGTATCACAAAAAATTTAGGTATGCTTTTATCTCATAACACCTTACTAATGTCCTTCAGCACTAGAAAATGGGAAAGCATCCTTGTGTATTTTTCACTTTAATTCTTCATAATTTTATTGTGAACAGGGCAGGAGGTATTGAAAAACACTGTTACGACACTGAGTTATCATTCAAAACAGGAGTGTATTATTGGCTTGGGAAAGCAGTCTTGGATGACAGGATGTCTGTTCTCTTTAGGTCCAAAATTAAACTGTTGTCCAAAAGTTAATAAAGCCCACAACAAGAATTTTTGAAGCAGAATTGTTTATGCTTTGTAAAGTCCTTTATATACCAAATGTTCATTAAGATAAAATTATAGCACCTGCAACTCAGTGAACATAATTTACATTTTTACTTCATAGATTTCTTGTTTTGCTTCAGGTTTATCCTAATTAAAATGTGGGCCAATATCCATGAGTATGGGCTGGAAGGGCAGTGATGCAGAGCAATGAGCTGGAGGCCACTGATGCATGGCATGAAGCTGGGGGCACCGATGTGAGACATAAGTAAGACAGTTTTATGGAGTAGCCTAGAGAGGCTCCAGGGAGAAATGATATGCTAGAAAATGTTACTGAAGTCCTGTAGTCTGAAAATTACTAGAGGAAGACAGATGGATGGGATGACCGATAAAGGACAGAAATCTGTAAAATGGCTGATTTGAGAGAAGTGGTAGGCTGAGTGTATCAGAAAAAAAAAAATTTAAAAAAATCAATCAAAACATGGAAGCCCAGTGGAACAAAAGGCAGGTGCTAGGAATCACTGAAGTATGGAACAGGCAAGCTTTCCAAAAGCTTCATTAACAGAGTACTCCTTTGACTTTGGGTCAGCCAAAGCAAGCTTTGAAACTTAAATATCATTCACGGTAGCTAAGAAGTCGAAATACGAGTCCTGTGTCAGGTCAGAAAAGATAGACCACGGAGAAAGAATTGCACCCTTGTTTCCATAAGCAGCTGTAGTGTCTCAGCCATGGCTCTCCTGGTGGTGCAAGTGGCAGACCTCACTCTGTTGCACACAGGTGAGACCGGGTGGCCTCAGAGAGCACTTGGTGGCTCCAGAGGGAGGCTCACAGCGTGAGCAGATCCGTGAGCTGTGCGGCGGTGCCCCACCCTTTTGGAGGTCGTGGTGCTGCAGAGCACACTGTGCCAAGTACCCGTCTGCATTCAGCTCAGCATCCGTGCCAAGAAACTGGATAAATTAGCTTGTAAGGAGCTGCATGCTGCTGCAGCTACTCTGCAGTGAGTGCCTGAACTATTTCATTTGCATATAGCTTCACTTACATGTAGCTCAGGTACGGTAACTTGCACTGAAAGCTATTGCATATATTTACTTAAAAAAGAATAGTAGTGGCATTTTAGTTACATCCTGTATTTTTTTTTTTATTTTTATTTTTTTGTTTCAGCCAAAACTGTATTTGGAACTCAGAAAACCGATAAGAAGTTAATATTCATTCCAGCATATTGGTACAGGCAGA